AACTCTGGACCACTTCCCCAAGGCTGGTTGGTCGTCCTGAGCCGCTTTTGGACGGTCCCGAGGCCTGGCGAAGGCCCCCCTGGAGGCCGAGAGTAGCCGAAAGCCTCCCGTCGCGACTTCTTCACGACGCGAGGGTCCCTGAAAGCCGAAAACCGCCCAAAACCGCCCGCGCCTTTTTTTTGGTTGGAGCGTCGGAACTATCATTACACCGACCTTGCAGACATGCTGCAGTGGATTTTTGCATGGATTTCTGTTCATACAGAACCCCGAAACGGCGAGTGAAAAACGAAGTGGGTTTCGCATGGATTTCTTTTAGTTCATTCCTGGCCAAAAGAATCCGCACGACATTCACCTCGAAATCCGGAGCGCAATTCTCCAGGACACTGATGAAGCCCGTTGAGGTGAGCTCCCCCGGGGCGGCGGCAGCTTGAGCCCTGGTGAGCAGGGACCGACCGCCCTGGCATTCCTATAGGCCTACCACGACATGTTCCTAGAACCCCCAAAATGGTTGAAAAACGACAGCAGCGGGAGAGCCGATGTGTTAGAACAAGCCTGTCCCAGCCAGGAGCGTTCTGAGAACCCTGCGTGGAAACCACAAGAGGCTCTCAGAACGTTGTGTGGTAGGCCTGCAGGCACGCCAGGACGCTTCGCCACTGCTTGGCAGGCGGCGGCACGCCGGGGCGGCGGACCCCCTCGCATCCCCGGGCCTGCTGCGGCCGGCCGGCGCGAGCCCCGCCGCGCCCTCTCCCGCTGTGTTTGTGTGGGGGGGGCCTCGTCGCGAGAGAGACAAAAAACGCTCGCGGGCGTTTTTTGTTGTGGTGTGTGTGTGTGTGTGCGGGGGTAACAAAAACAACTTGTGCAGACAATCAGGACGCCAATGCCAAGGGTTGCCAGCCAGCTTCCTCAAGAGGCGCATGCCTGAGGCGATCCGGCTGCGCTGGGGAAAGAAGCGCTGAGCGGCTTCACCTCCCTGAGCACTGGGCATCGTGCTGGTGCGGTAGATCCCCCGTAGTGGGAAGAGAGACGCCTACGCTGGCGGGCGGTGTTGGCTGATTTTCGGCCCCTGGGGGCCCTCCCCAGGCCGTGGGGCCGCCCTACATCAAACTGGGGATGAGAAGCGGGCCACCGGCAAGGGGTCTGGACCTCTGGGGGCCTTGAACGGGGTGAGACAATCACAGCGCCGAGAAGAGACGCAGTGTTATGCTGCTCCCATCGCACTTAAGGGACCACATCACAGAAACGATTTCGAGCAGCCAGAAAAGTGTCGAAACGGTGTCGAACGAGGGTCGCCTCCCAGGGCCCGACACGTGAACACCCCCAAGTTTGGGTATCTTCTGGGTGCCAGAAACTCTTTCTGGTGGTCAAGGCTACAGTAGGTTGGAGCATCCTAGACGCAATGGGGCAAACGCGCGCCCTCTTGGTGAGGGGAGCCGGCAGGGGGGGGGGGGCATCGTGCTGCCCTGAGGAGCGCTGGGCGAGGAACGGAGGGGCTTCCCTGGCCACGGCGCGCCTCGGCCACGAGCAGGTTCCCCGGTCCAGAGCAAAGCCAGGGCCCCTCGCTGAGCCCGAAGGGGTCCTTCTTTCAGCGCCTTGGCCGCGCAGGGCAAGAGAGCCACCCTCAGAGTAAGAACCCCCCGCGATCGAGGCCCTCCATCTAGAAGATGCACCCGAGGAGGGAGCCGAACAGGGCAGGGCTGGTCGGTAGACGCCAGGTGCTGTGTTGGTAGACGCATGTTGCGCACGTCAGGTTGTTTCTTCCTCTCGGCGGCGAGCGAGGGGGGCGGGAAGTGAAAAGGAGGAGACCTTCTCGGAAGGCGGCGGGACTTCTCAGAAACCCTCGCACCTTCTGAGAAGTTATCTGTGTCTTCGGGGAAGGCTCAGAAGACTCCTCAGAAGGCCGGAGGCTCAGAAGACTCCTCAGAAGGCCGGGGGACTTCCGAGCCTTCTGAGAAGGTCCGCAAGGTCCGCCCGTTCTCACGTCCCCTCAGATCACCGCCGACCTTGAGGACTGGCTCAGAAGGACGGACACTGACCTGGAAACTCAGACCCCCGACGTCGTGATTTTTTCACAACGTCGACCCCCGAAGGTCTGGACCCCTTCCCCGGGACCAGTTCTCCATCCCGAGTCGGTGTTTGACGGTCCCGAGGCGCGGTAAGGGCCCCTGGAAGCCAAAAATAGCGAAAAACCGACCGTCGTGATTGTTGTCATAACGCGAAGGGGCCTGGGGACCTGGCATCGACCAGGCACCCCCAAGGCGATCGGCGATCGGTCCCCGAGGGGGGCACCCCGAGGCTCCTGGGCAGGTGGGGGTACACTTGCCCCGACTGGCGGGGAATGGGCGACGCGGGGTCGACGCCCCTCCCGCCCCCCCCAATGAGAGGAGGTCCCCCCCCGTCGACGCTCCCGATCTGCCCATCCGTTTGCCACGACGGAGGCGTCTGGCGGTCCGAAAGGTACGATGGCTGTTCTGTTGCATCCTCGGGGGGGGGCCTTGCCCGTCAAAATCGCGGCCCTATCCGCGTCGACGCCGTGCCGACTCCCGGATCCGTGTCGAATCCGTGTGCCGAATCCGTGTCGAATCCGCGCCGAATCCGCGTCGAGTCTGCATCGGGCCCAAGAAAAGACACCAATGTTGGGGACAGGCGAGGTCTCCCGAAGATGCAGCGCACGTTAGGGGTATCTTTTTACCACCTCAGGCCTCGACGGCTTGCTAGCACTTGGATTCAGAAGGGCGCCCCGAGGGCGCCCAGGAGGACAAAGAACCCTTGGATTAGGAATCCAGGGTCTGAAAGCCAGTGGAGCGCCAATGGAGGTTTGGCCGTGGATATTACCGCCGCCCTCCTGAGATAAGGCGCCCTTCAAGGTCCGAAGCCTCCAGGGCGGGTGCGGGGGCGCGCGCGCGCGCGAACCGAGGCCCGTGCAGGAGCATGGGCCAAGGGGCGAGAGGAGGCAGCCGCAGGGGCAGGGAACGGAGGCCACGAAGGAAATATAGGCCTTCGATCTGCGGCGAGCTGGGCCCTGCATGCTACGAGCTGCGAGGCTAGGGCGAGGACATCGGGTGCGGATCATTATTTAGTTATTTTCGGCTTGAAAGATTGTATGAACTGTTCGATTTGCGGGTGTCATCCTTGCGCAGGGGCCATGCTAATCTTCTCTGCATCGTTCCAACTTTCATGGACGACCCCGAAAGGGACCCATCATCGTATGAGGATAAATCGAGAATCTCGGATATCCAGCGGTTCTGGAGGATGTCTCGGGTGCCGCGGCCTTCTCAGAGCGTTCTGGAACGCTCTGGAACGAATTTGCAGTAGGGGCCCGACCACGAGAAACCTTCCACAAGAGACCCAACCCTGAGACCCCAGGGCGTCTACTGATTTTTGACTTGGGAACATCACGCTATCCATCGCAAAACCATAGAACAACCCCAGAAACTCAGGCACTCAGGGAACTTAGGACAACGATGGCGAGCAAGGTGTTTCTTGGTATGGGCCTCCACTGTATCCTCTCGCTGGCCCCGGCTTCCTCCTCCTCCTTCCTCCTCATCATCATCATCCCTCCTCCTCCTTCCTCCTCCTCTTCCTCCTCCTCCTCCTCTTCCTCCTCCTCCTCCTCCTCCGCCTCCTCCTCCTCCTCCTCATCCTCCTGCTCCTCCTCCTCCTCCGCCTCCTCCTCCTCCTCCTCCTCTTCCTTTTCCTCTACCTCCTCCTCTTCCCCCCTCTCCTCCTCCTCCTCCTCCTCCCCCTCCTCCTCCTCCTCCTCCTCCTCCTCCTCCTCCTCCTCCTCCTCCTCCTCCTCCTCCTCCTCCGCTCCTCCTCCTCCTCCCTCCTCCTCCTCCTCTTCCTCCTCCTCTCCCTCCTCCTCCTCCCCTCCTCCTCCTCCTCCTCCTCCTCCCCCTCCTTCTCCTCCTCCTCCTCCTCCTCCTCCTCCCTCAAGCACGCGGGGGGGCCCTGGGGCGCGTCGGATATTTTGGCTCCAACTCGCTAGGCCATGGCCCTTCCTTCCCCGCGCCTCATCGCGGCGCTTGGGTGGCTCCTCTGACGTGTGCTGGTGGACACCGAGGAGGATGGCTAAGCGGGGAAAGTATCGCGTTCTACGGGATGGCGGGCCACTTGACACTGACAGATCGGGTCGGGCACATCTTTTGCCGGGTGATTTTCTTCACAGGTCAGTGCTTATTCCTGGTTTTCCTTGTCATTGACGTGTTCATCATAATTTTTGTTTCCGTCCGCAGGTTACGTCAGCTTTAGTGTCGCATTCCCCCAAACCCGCACGGGGGGTGTATCCCGGTCGGGGCTTGGGCTTTCGCGGTACTTCTGGCGGCACAGTTGCGGGGCATTCATCGCCGTTGGCTGGTCTTTTGTACGCACTGGTCATTCGCAGTGGTGTATTCAAATTTTGTTTGTGAGGCACGTTTCTGTTTGCAGGGGCGAGGCTGGCTGTGGAGGAGATGATCCCTATTCTTACGAGATGGGTGGGGTTGCCTGACAATGCTCGAGGTGGTGGCCGCTTGGAATTTTGCTCCGCGCTTTCATTCTCGGGCAGGGCCATATTGGATTGAATTCGTACCAGCTTAACCCGTTGCTTTCAGGATGTGCTTCTGCTGCCAGTCGAGGTCTGTGTGAAAGCTCTGGTGATGGGGTATTGCGTCCTCCTCTACATCTTCCACCCGTTCTTCGTCCTCTGAGTGGCGGCAGTTTCGGTTTCAGAATATCACATCGTGATGGCGCTTCTTCTTCTTCTTCTTCTTCTTCTTCTCCTCCTCCTCCTCCTCCTTTTTTCTTCTTTCTTCTCCTTCTTTCTTCTCCTTCCTCCTCCTCCGATGGGACACGGGCGAGGCGAACGGAGGCACGGGCAGGGGAAGGCAGGAGGGGCTGCGGGACGGCCCAGAGGAGCCCTCCGTCTGTGGCGAACTTCGGTGCCAAAGGCAGGCTCGCGTGCCGGACGCTGTCCGTGCGGGGGGTGGGTGCCCGGACCTCCTCGCGCCGTGAACAAGAAGTCA